GTGAGATGAGTATTACTACTTTTGACTGGAGTCTTTCTCTAAGCTATTACTGATACATGATGAAACTAATATTCTACATTTATATTTTCCTAATATCTGAATCCTAATATATCGCTTGTAGTGGTTATAATTAATAATGCATTTAGTATGAATAATTATTCCATGATACGGTCTCTAGGGGGTCAATGTCACCTTGGAGAATAAAATTTCACTCAACAAAATTTTCTCACCAAATAATATACAGTGAGACCTCAGATATCCGGACACATTCTTTTCTTACGTAAAACGTCCGGATAATTGAATATCCGGATATCTGGATTTTTGGTTTTCATACACCTCAAGGAAAATCCAAAACGTTTATGATCATCAAGCGTTTATTGTACATGTATAGACATTCAAAAACAGCATCACAACATAACAATCATACCTTTACTATTATTCAGTTTTGAAAAAGTCTTTCATTGAGGACTGCTTACACTGGGTGCCGCTCCTTTGCAACACGACGACTTGAAGCGTGAAAGCCATCCCTGAGAATATGCGAAGTCCACAACATTTAACTTTTAACTTTTGATGTGTCAATTATAGGTGCTTGGATTACAATAAATGCGCGTTTACTCTGGGACATGTCTTTAGGACCCTAAATTGGAAATCTGGGGTCCGGGTATCTGAGGTCTCACTGTACATCTCATCAGCTTAAAGTTCACACAGAAGTTCACACACAACAGAAAACTATTTCGTAAAATTGTCATAATGATGGATGTTGCAAACTGCACTACCATAGCTCTCCAGCCTCGGGGACACACAGGGATTCGATCAACCCGGCACGGAAAATACCTCATACGCCTTTCACTTGCAAAACAACGTGTACATGCGACGAGAAGTTTCACCAAAAAAATCGACTAGCTGATCGATATCACCCTCACCTCAGCATCATTCATGTTTCTAAAAAATTGTTACATCTCCGAAATAATAAACGACGGGATCATTCTCATGTCTTTCACATCGAAATTTGATAAAACCATACAATTATTGCGAATACCGGGTCACACGGGCAACAAGTTAGCTCCAGTCAACTCGAATGCTTTACTGTCCGACATACCGATTACCAACTGTATTTTTTCGATTCAAATTTTGCCATAAAAGTACACACCACTTTCATAATAGAAGTTTATCTCGTAAACGTCCCCTCAAATGATCTAGTACTTTTGAATGGGTTGACAATAAACTGGAGCGATCAACACATGCACCAACGTTGCCATATTTTCATAAGACCGGGATCGGAACCATTAACAAGCCTCGACAGGGTTCGTGTTGACGAAACAGAGTCCATTCAGCTCTCGACTATTTACTTGCACGAAAATCTGAAGTTTATCAGCCTTAAGTACATCAATCAAACATTAACTGAAAACCAATCACATATTATTTTCTAACTTATATTATATAAAGATGGGATTGTATCCGGCCATGGACGAAGTGGTCAAAACACTGGAAACCGTAGACGGATTTCATTTGAGACAAATAGGCGACATTAAACTCCAACTGGAAATGGAATGTGATGTACGACTAGAATTGTACAAAAAGTACTACAGAGCCGTGAATACCGTGGATGGGATAGACACTTCACTTGTGGCAGCCAGCATGGGACTCAGGGCAGCCAGGGTTGGCTTATTATTATCGACTATTGTAGCCGCACCTGTAGTCCTAGGGTTAGAAATAGCAGCCGGGGGTATCGGGGCTGGCGGGAATAGCTCTTAAATTCATTTCACGTCAACTGCAACATAAAGCGCTGAAGCACGACGAGATTAGTGTTTAGCCGAAGCCAAGATGAATATGATTGATGATCACAGATCAACAGTGCTCGCCGACAGCAAGATCACGGAGGAAGATATCCGTTTGGTGTTAGCAGAACTTGCCAAATACCACAGGGTGAAACAAGAGATTCGAACCAAGTCCCGCAAGACGCGGGACATCGGTGAACAGGAGAAAAAAAAGCTCATAGAACAGGGCAGACAACAGGCCCGGCAAGCATTCCTTTCCAAAACCAAAGAAATCATAGGAGAATAACGCTGAACTGCTTCCTCGATATCAATGTAAATCCATAAAATAATCTGATGGATACAGACGTCGAATGATGGGCTGCCATCATTCACCAATATGTTTTTACTCGGGCAGGGACGGTAGTTCGCAAAAATATCGCTATTAGGGGACCTGTCACCGAACCGATATTCCCTATACTACTCCTTTTGAGAAAACTATCCAGAGTCTATTATGTATCAGCAATTTGGAGAAATGCTCACATCTCCAATCCTGTCTCATCCAGCCCCGAGAAACATGGTTGGATGTTGGTCAATGGCAAATATCTGGTGTCATGGTTTCACTGGGAATCAAATGTCTACATCATTCCAAATGGATACCTGTATTACTACATCAACTGTTGGTGAAGATGATCATTCAGACTTATCAGATTTTGGATCAGATAGTGATTCGAGCAGTGATGAATCCTCTTAGTAGGTAATGCTTTTCATGGCACCAATGACCATGACTATACAACATTTACACGTGTGCTCTCTTAAAGCATGGTTGACATGGAGCAGCTAGGGATGTCACAATACATAAGTTTCATGAATCGATACGTATCACAATACCCATGTCACGATTCGATACGTATCAGTATCACGATACCTATTTTCACGGCATTATTGCGTAAATTTAGTTACATTTTTTACTTTAATATTTCATATTTTATAATTGTCCATGAAAAGATTAACATTTCGGATTCTCAGAGATTAAAAAGTTCTAATTTCCCATCTTTGTACATGAAAAATAACTCTCATAACATCAAAAAACATGATACAATTGCAAAATATAAATGATACATAAACATATTTAAACTGATACTTTCAAAACTAAATATTGATACAGTTTTGAATGTATCGATAATTGTATAGTCTTAGAAAAAGTATTGATGCATCAGTGTATGTATTGTGGCATCCCGAGAGGCAAACATACGTCATCCTTCTAACTGGTTGCAATCACTTGTGTAATATTTTTATTAGTATTAAATGTTGTTTGTCAACTATTACTCTAAGTGGTAGTAGTACAATTGAATGAAACTTTTGCCAAAGCTATGTGTTAAGGACAAAAAAACAATGTTGATGTATGACTTCACAACCAGTGACATATTTTTTCACAAAATTGGAAATTTTAACCATAAATTGTATATTTATATACTTATCCTATCTCACAGTATGCACCTCTTTTCTTCTACCACCAAGATGTGGAAACGTGCTGTAGGCTAAGTTGAATCAAAGCACCTGACCTTTGCCCCCACCCCGATAGCTCGACCTGTCAATAATCTCTATAAGCATGCAGATCGCTAAGATGATCATGTGACGTCCCATTACTGTCATTCTCATCTTGGAGCTTCCAGTAATCTGTGATGTGGGGCAGGTCGGGTGGGAATCCTTCATGTGAGATAGGATAAGTATATAAATATACAATATAGGGTTAAAATTTCCAAATTTTTAAACTTATCTTATCTCACGGTATGCATTATCCCACGTTTGGATGGAGGGCCGCAGATTACCCTGTGTCAACTCAACAACCGTGAGGTCGCATAACACAAGGAGGCCTAGAGAAAGCACCCGATATGCTAACTCTGAACTTGTGATGGGTTGCTTCTAAGTGATAAACCCCTTGGCTTACACAGCACAAAAACTCTAGGACATAGTTTGGCATGTGGACCTCGCCTCCCCGCGATTTATCAAGTGACCCCGGTGAATTAATGTCGAAGACCTTAATCTGGACAGCCCCTGCTTCGAAACCATCCCCCACAGACACGCTGGAAGGCAGTGAAAGGGAGAACGGCGCGGTTGCTCAACTCGCTTAATATTCAGTACCAATCCCCCTAACTGACCAAAGATGAGAAAGGACTTATAAACGGATCAGAAATCAACACTTTGCTGACGTAATTGCTCAGAGAGTAGAGGTAAAAAAGTCGAGTGTCGAGCACCTCGGCATGAAGTACAAGACTGGCCTCTCAGTCTATATCAAGTCATAGGTATAAAAGTACTAACACACCCTAGTTCCAGCGAAAAAGAATACCAATAAAAAGATATGATCAATATCTTTTATTGATATACAGAATACAACACCAACGCGAAGGAGGGATTGCATCTCCACTGCAGTTGTGGGCCGACAGCAACTGCTGTGCCAGGACCTATGGACCGAATTGGTGTAGACCTTCCACGTTACCTACATTTGTCACAGTGTTTCAATTTTCTAGTGGAATTTTAATTAGATTTACCCATGATGAAACAATCAAAATCTGTGTCTAACAGAGAGAACAGCACATGTCCCCTCAGTGTAGCGACAAGAAAGAGAATGACAGTAATGGGATGACACATGATCATCCGAGTGATCTGCATGCTTATAGAGATGATTGACAGGTTGAGCTATCGGAGTAGGGGCAAAGGTCAAGTCGTACAGGGGCCAGAAGATTTGATTCAACTGAGTCTAGAGCACGTTTCCACATCTTGGTCGTAGAAGAAGAAGAGAGGTGCATACCGTAAGATAGGATAAGTTTAAAAATTGGCAGATTTGTGGATATTGGTATGCAGGATCGTTTGTACATAAATATGTGATGTAAGTAATCAGAAACACTCTGACTATCTGCGTACGGTTATTTGTTTTTATTATTTTTATTGTAAGTTTTTATTTGCCAGAAATAATTACCGTTGTCATTCTGAGTGATTTTGTGTCAGTCATGGCGTCAATCTGCACAGAAATTTTCCCAATTTCGCCTGAATATATTAAAGTACTGAATTCGCATCTATTTGTAATTTTCCATTTCTTGCTACGATACTCTTTCCATACATATTCTAAAAGTATCCAGCCTATGCATGCAATGAATAGACGAAATGATGTCTGAAAATCCGAGAAATTGTGACACAGTGTAAAATTGGAATTTTTCTTTGTTTATATTTTAAACAAGATTTTACCTTCAAATCACCACATGTCAGCTCTGAACAGCTCGAGTTGTAATTCAGGTCATTTTGGGACACCCTAAAACAAGAAAAGATAAAGAAGCATTCAAGGGTACATAATCAGAAATGTTGTCTGTATATTTGTTTGTGATTTAACACCACACTCAGCAATATTCCACTCATATGATGGCAATCAGTCAATAATGGAGTTTGGAACAGACAGTCCAGTGATAGGCATCCTGAACATCAATTCCTACAAATAGGACATGAAAACATACATCTGCAAGCTTGACCACATTTCTCACTTGTACATACCTAAGTACATATAATTCTATATACTCAGTCATAAATAGATCCTTTTTTGTGCTGTTGTGTCCATATTGAAATTATTATTCAAACAACAATATGAAGATGATGTGTAGCTTTGAAACAAAACCACTTCAAGAGAATTTAAAGGGACATGAAATATAAACCTGATTTTTTTCAACTATAGTCATCCTCTTGTCTTTGAGCTGGAACCAATTTTGTAATGTGAGTAGTGGGGTTGATCAGGTGGGTGTGCATTGTTTGAGATAAGATAAGTATTATAAATATACAATTAATAGCTAAAATGTTCATATTCTAAAATTTATCTCACATTATGCACAGATTACCCCAGTCTGAAGGTAAATGACAACTATGTGATGAATCGCTCACATGGAGGTTGACCTAGACTTGTGATCAAAAATCATAGGCTAGAACTAGTGACAGCTTGCTTCAAAAATTATCTAAGACAGGAATCCCTGTTCCACCCTGCTTTTAAACAGGCTCAAGAAGCCGAAGACCTTTCCTTCCTCAGTTCTTCAAAACTGTTGTCTGTAGATAATGCATACAGGTGAAAGACAGGATGGCTCAGAAATGTCGCCATTAAATGTTCTGTATCTATCCCACCAATGACAACTTTGTATCACTCTTCTTTTTATGACTTCTAATCATTGACAGTCAAGGAACAATGGAAAGTAAAGTTTCCAAATCTCCTTCAAGTGGCATCAGAATTCATATTCTAATTAACGATTACTCATGAGAGTATGTGTGGATCACCTCAGTGCTGTTATACAGGGCTTGCCACAGGGCTGTTATACATGGCCGTGTTGCTGATAATGTCATGACTGTACTTGGAACACATCAGTAGAACACTGTGGGAGGTTGATTGCTTGTAAGCCATCAAGGATTAACATTTTGTTCTGTTATCTACAAAATGTCATGTTGGTGGAGACCTTGGACATGTTCTGCTGCTAAGTCCAGTAGATAGTGTAATATGAGAATGATCTCTGACCTCCAAATACATCCTTCCATGATGGACACCATGAAGCAGTTACTGTGGAGCACCATTGTTAAAGTGACTAACGTACTGTAGTAGTATACACAATGGGGGTACTAGATAAATTCCAACAAAAGCCTCTGTAAAGCTTCATTCACGAAATAAAGCTTTTGTCAGGCCCTTATCTCTCCCCGCTATTGTATATACCAGTTTTTAACCCCCAGTTAACTTCCTGGTCACTATGACTGTGAACCAACACTTTCCTGATCACGTGGCACTATTGTGATTGCCCTATGTTGTGTTGACAGGAAACAGTTTAATGTGACAGGATACTATTGGGATTACTTGGTAAGGTAAGTGTTAAATATTTTGCTTGGGGGGTAACATTGTGTCGTATGGTATGACCAATAATTCCTCTCTGACGAAACCTCTCCCTGGCCCATCTTTCAAGTAGTACAAGTTCGGCTCGTCGGCTTTGATGTCCACTTTATCTATGTTGTAAGTTTTGACTGACCATGTTGGGTCGGTGGCTCGTTCCCGAGTGTCCCCTTCATGTTCTCCCGGTTGGTAGAGGTACCTCACTAGGACCCGGTCGGGTATCTGTTTCTCCTTCCCACGCAATGGTGCAGCCGGTTCGGCCGTCACTGATTTCAGTTTGATAGCGTCGGCCGGTTTCTTGCCGGTGAGCCAAGTGGTTTCGTGGTTGATAGCCGACACCACTTGAGGTAGCCGCGCTACCCATTCCGTAGATCGTTTTCCCGGGTTGGCCATCTCTCTCGCATACTGGTGTCCGAATAAGCACTCGGCCAAAGTCCTACTGAATCTCTCAACTATGGCTTGACTGCGATGAGCCCCGGCCGCGCCATGCCTGACCTGGACGTCGTGCTTGGCTAGCAGTTGTGGCATGGCACCCATGAACTCCCGTCCGGGATCGACTTGCAGTTCGGTGGGCCATGTCAGCGGGCTGCGCTTGTATATGCGTTCGAATCCGCGGGCTACCTGGGCCGAGTCTTTCGCGGTTAAGGGTTCGGCTTCTTTGTAGCGGCTGGCCACGTCCACGACGGTTAGGGCATACTTGTACCTCCTGTCGTGGGGTAGGAACAGGAGGTCCGCCTGGTGGACGCTATTGGGTACGGCAATGCCAAACTTTCTTCTAGGCACGTAGCGTGGTGCCGATAAATAGATCTGCCACAAGGCTTGTTTTTCAAGCCATGCTTTGGCCTCGTCCGGGGGTACTCTCGCCATTTCGGCAAGCTTATGTATGGCGCTCACTCCTTTCCAGTACCCACGCAGGCTTTAGAAAATAGCTTCAAACTTTCTCTCTTTCCGTGACATCGTATATACACCTATGTTCTTGGTTCAATTTTCTCATGGCCGTACGCGTACGAGTACGTGTTGATCCCGTCCATGGCTATCCAACGCTTCGTGTCCATCGGCGACAGGGACGTCTTGTTTATCGTCAGTCCGTATATCCTTTGTCCTTCGCTTCTAAGCGTGTTCATCTGATGCTTGAAGGTGCGGGCCCTGAACTGGGCCTCCTTGAACCTGGCGTGTTTGATGTGTTGTTTCACCACGTACTTCTTGACACCCTTCGCCTTCCCGGATCTCGCTATTGTCGGCTTTCAGGATGGAGTACATCTTGGGCCTCAAGCCTATGTACTCTGCTATGGGCGTGCCAGCACACTCATCCTTCATCTTACCGAGGACCTTTTTGTTAACCGTGCTGTGCATGGCATGGTCCTTGGGGTAGTCACTGGTGGCGTACAGGTGTATGTGTTTTACCATGTCCTCGGTTCGAATCTCCATCAGCAGGGAGTCCGTGTCCGTGTACAGCACTTCGCTCCTGTCGCCGTACTGTTTCTTCAGTTCGTTGTAGTAAAAGTCGTACATCAGGTGTTTGGATAAGTCGAGGATGCTCATCCCCACGTTTATAGGCCGGTTGAACTTGATGTGGCTCTTCCTCATATGTAGGGCCACCAGATCGTCGGTGAATATCTTGCTCCAGTTGAATGCGGGGCTGGCTATCAGTCTCCTGAGCTTGTCTTCCTCTTTCGCCCAGACCAGCTTCACGGTCACACGTTTTCGCAAATTCTCCATCGTTTTACCGAACACCGAGTTGTTCATGAGCTTGTAGAGATTCTTCTCGAAGTCATTGGTGGCCAGCTTTCGCAGGTCTGTGTTCATTCTGCAGTACAGCTGCAGGTTACGATAGTGAACGATGTACTTGGACTTGTTCATCAAATTGGGTATGAGTTTTTCGACGTTGGCTAGCTTATTACCCCCCACCCTCCGTTGGTAGTCGGACATCCAGTCCGGGTTCACCATCAAATGTTCTGGGGCCAGGGGGTAGCTGTTGTGTGACTTATGTAATGTTGTTGGGTACTCCAAGTCAACTTCGAGTATGTAACCTACCGCCAAATCCGGTGGTATGCTCATGACGTCTATCTCAGGCACCCACTCGAACCCCTTAGTTGGTAGATACTGGCTCATGGCCCAACCGTATAGGTTGATAGAGGAGATAATTAATGGGTTTGCTAGCATTGTAGCCCTTCACGTACTTATCGTTGGCTCTTGCGTACCGTTTGGCAGCCATGGAAATCCCACCTCGCAATCCTATCTCAATGAACAGGTGCATGTCGTAATCGGTGAGGAGTTCCAGCTTAACTCCAGTTTTCTTCAGCAAGGCATCCCAAGAGAGACCGGGGCTGGTGTAGTACCACGCGGGGTCGAGTTGATACTGCTTGAAACACGTCTTTCTGAACGTCTTGAACACGTCAGCCAGCAGGAGCACGTCCGTTCTCAAGTACAGGTCGTGGTAATCGCCCAGATTCTTGCAGCCCAGTTTATTCCATACATTAATCGCGTGCGAGTAATCACCCTCCGTGATGGCCGAGTCGGTCAAGTTGCTGTAAAATTCCCTGATGGGGGGTAGTCGGGTCTCGGCGAACTTGGCCCAGCCATCCATGTACTCATAGGGGTAAACACCCTTCCTCATCAGCAGGGGCCGAGTCTCGGCGTCGGTGTATCGATCAGTGATGGGAAAGGTATCGTTGGCTTTGACCAAACCATCGAGAGACGACAGTAGGAACTGAACTAAGTCTATGAACCTCAGGCCGTTCAGGGAGAAGGTGATGTATCTCTCCATGTTGTTGGGGATGCACGTCAGGTTGCCGTCGACCCTCGCGATGGCCTGCATGATCAAGTGGGAGTTGTACCCTCTCAAGTTGTGGAAGACCACGGGGATGTTGATTGTTTTGGGGTTGATTCTGAGCTTGAGGTTGCACGCGCTGTGAGTGGCGCCTCTGTACTCCCCGGTGATGTGACAGTGATCTCTCACCGAATCGCCGTTCAGCGGACCGTCGCACACATGGCAGTGAGTGCTGCAGTCGTGAGCTCGCCAGTCGGCTTGGGTCATACGCATGGGGACGACATTGTACAATTTCTTCCTGATGGTTTTCTCTTCCCATTGCAAGCACTTTAGAAACTTTTCAGCCGCGTAGGGACCCCTGTACACCACGAGAGCGTTCGTTTCCCCATCACATCGGACGACCACGTATCCGAACCCACAGGCCTCGTGCTCCTGCGTTTTGTTTGTGTTGGGAGCTGGGCCGATGTCAACGGGTTTGACGAGGGCTTCAAAGTCGGCGTAAATGATGTAAGGTACGGACATCTGATTCTTGTGATTGTCGAATTTTAGGATATTGTCGCCTTCCATGGGCATGTCGATTTGTATGGCCGTCTGCCCCACACCTAGGCAATACTCCCGGTGGGATTCCAGC